GCTGTGCAGTACAGAATTTGAAATAATTCTAGTCGACCGATGAATACTCCAAAGATAATCTGATAAGTGTAGATAAGAAACATGTACACTGTTTGCAAGTTATGGTGTGTGTTTCAACTTTTGCTTGGTAATACAGCAAAGAAAAACATGGAAAAGCGATAAAATATATACAGTTTACATTAGTTTGCACAAAAAAGATGAAAACTTTAACTTTTATTGATTTTATTTTAATTTATTAATTTATTACAGATTCCAACAATTAAGAGGCTCTTCTTCTGGAACAATACTAATCTAATCTAAGTATATATTTGTAGTAACTAATTAAAAGTATAATAACAATAATAAAATTAATCAATGTAACTTATCATGAGATATTAAAATATACAATACATATTATGTGGATTCAAGACCGATGTTTAGCAAACAAATGTTTCTTAGCACTGTGGCAAAAAACATTATGTTTATGCATGAAACAACGGCAGACATTCGCACAGAAGCTGGCTCAGGAAAATGTTGAATGGCATGGACTGGTACGAATCTCTGCTTGTCTTTAACACCAGTTCGAAACCGCAACTCCTGGCAGGACAACTCTTTAAAGTGTGCAATTGATAGCACGGCCACATTAGCGTCTGGCGATTGGATGACAATCCGTCGATGTGTTGCAGCAGCATTCTTAGCGCGAAGCAGCAGTCATGTATCTGCCTCTTCGTGATCAGAAAATAAGTTAGGCTCTATGGTTACGAAACCTTGGGTAAGAGACACTGTTCTTGACCCGTCTTGGAATCCGCCAGCGAGGAAGACCTGTGAAGGGCCTAAACTTTCAGGGAGGTGTTGACTTAAAGCATCACAAAGAAATGCGGCCAAGTTTTCTTTTTTCTTTGGGTTGGAAATAAACTTTGTCCACTGCTTCGGAACTGGTGTAGATTCACCATGGATCTTCACTTCTAGGGAGCTTGATTCACCCCTCTTCTTGCATTGGCCTGATCAAATACGAGGTCCACTCGAGTGCAGCAGTTACGACTCAAAGTACTGATGACAAGATGTGAATATTTCCCAGACAGCTCTCCAAATGTTGCAGTTCCTGCAGATTGTAACATTTGAATTAAGGCCATTGCATCGATAAGGTATGCTGTAGGGATTTCTGAACAAGGAAGGCTTGAGGGACACGAGATATCCTTCTCCAACAGAGGCATCAAGGTGCTTTTACCTGTCTTTAGGAGAGTTCCATCTGGGTGTGCTAGTGCAATGGGTACACTGCACAGCTCATACGAAAGCACCTCTTTAAGATCTATGTCTCTGTGCTTCGCAGTTACCAGAAGGCGGCCAGAGATCTCACGATCTGCACTTATCAATGAAATTTTCTCTTTCTGACTTGTGCTCATCACAATTATCTTTGCCACTGAACGAAACAACTTGATCTTCAGCTTTTGGATTGGATCCCAGAGATTTGTTTCATTGCTCTTCAGTCTAGATGAAATAAACCTCTCAATACTCTCAATACAATGCCTGCCTAACTGTGTCGCTCTCGGAGCCTGTCTGCATCAGCATCAGGAAGAACACCAGAGGCAAGATTACTCAGAGGTATCGGTTTGCTCTCATCGTGAATGTCATCTGGAATGTGAAAAGGGTCATTTAGGAGCCCACTGCTAAAGGATTCTGCTAGGTTTTGAACATCCTTTTCATCCCGTGCCAATCTTGAAGGTCCTGTATCTTTATGAGTTCCGATTCGATCAGAGTTCTCAAAACCTCACATTGCCTTGACCGCCTGTGTCATAGCAGCTCTATAGAGGATGATAAGAAACCATCGATCCACTGCATCTTCTTTTGTGCTCATGCCAATGGTGTCACACACAGATGACATAACAAAATTTGAGACCCCCCACTTGACTCAGACAAACAAACTACTCCAAGTGCCCTTTCTATAAGAGCGTTTAGCGGTATCGATGTCGTTTGCGAGCTCTTTGCTTTGTTCTTTGACTGTTTTAACCCAAGAGCATGGTGTTCCTGGCTCGAAATTTGACTGAGAACCAAAGGACTACACTTTAGATTGATCAGTTAAAATGATGGTTAAAGTGCTGAGGTTTGAGATTAAGCGGAAAATGTGATGAACTTGTAAAATGTGTCACTGAATGCATAAAGACTGGAAATCATCACACACTCAATCCAAGTATAGATGAGGAGAAATGGTTTGCGGCGAAGGCTGTAAAGGAAAGTTGTGAACTTCAGCAAACTTGCAATTTGGTTTTGTTTCCAGAGATTCAGTCAATGGGCTGGCATGTGTTTCCTTCTCGCAACATACCCAAACTGTTTAACTATGGACACATACATTATTATGCCTTGGAATCAATCCAGAATGTCAATGTTACGGAAGAAAACGACCAAGGACTTGGACATGTGATGGACAAACCAGTAAAAAGTGGACGAAGGTACGTAGATTCAGGATTTGTCCATGATGTAATGGACACGTTGACTGCCTACCATTAGTTAGTAAGAGCTCACATTTGGTCATCGACGAAAATGGAGCTTCCGCACAATGTTATTGCTTGCCAGTCCCTAGTCTACAATAATCAAGACCTCATTGTTTGTTTTCAGTTTGGTCACAACACTAGTTATCAAACCCGCTGCATTGTTCAGAGGGGGCGGGCGTAACACAATGTAGGTATGCGACTGTAAGGTTGCTAAGACAAGAAATCAAGTAAATATTATCTGCTGTTACTTCACAATATCTTTAAAAAAAGTTGTCTCTTATTTTATTATGCAGTAAATACATTATGCAACATTGCTTGTTTTGTTGAATACATTTTTTTGTTCATCTCAGTCTATCTCAAAGATGAAGGAAAGATCACGGCTACAGTGGTGATTTCGCGACCTTATACGAGTCAAAATTGTGTACATTGCTGTTGTGGGGAGAACCTTAAGGGGTTAGAGAACTGTATATTCCATAAAGCAATCTATGAGCTAAAGGATAATAATGTAAAAAGAGCCTATTTTTATAATGAACAAGGCAATTTTTATCTATTAATTAGGTTTGGTAGAAAGTTATATTTGTAAATAAAACAATAAAATTATTGTCTAATTGAACACGTGCACAACTGGCTTCTGCTGGCTTCAGATTTGCCTTTACAGGATCGGGATGTTCCGTAGTGGGCCTTTTTTGCCAGGCCAATGAAGGGCACAAATGTTTGTATTTCTTGAGAGATATTCTTTTCGGTAAGGAATTCCCTCGAACAAGCCACTAACCATCTTCTGCACAAGTTTCTAGATGTCTTGCGTCAGTTTAGGAAATGGGATGAAAGCTTTTTTTCCGGACTCCTCCAACTCTTTGAGCGATTTTGGCCATTTCTCTGGGTACCTTGAGTCAGTTTTGCAATTACCCCAACAGCACCGCTTCGTAGGAACCATTTTTTTTCCTTCGAGGAAGTACAGACTGTGATTTGCCCGATTTTTAACAATTTTTGTTCACATACTGTCACCAACCGGCATACATTCGCTTATGGTGGATTGCAATGATAAACGAATCGCAATGTTTGTCTGAGTCACGCGGGGGTCTCATGAGACAAAACCCATTTTTAGAAATAGTGCGCAATGCCATTATACCCCCTTTGGACTTGGAATCTAGGTTAATAGACTGCTCCATGGCCACGTCCATCCAGACTTGTGCAAAGGGTTGTTTTGAGTGACTCACACTATGGTTTCCATTGATGAACTCTTTGTAAACCTTCTGGATGTTTGGTTTCTAGCATGTTCATACCAGAAAGATAAACAGGATGCCACCTGGCATAGTTTATCCGGCCCAAAGCAAAGAAATGGGGAACCATGGCAGCCGTTGCGGTGAGGTGCAGCTTCCAGTTTCCAGTTCATTCAGCCTTAATGAACTGCAGAAAAACCAGTACCATGTTGATGTAGTCTTCCCAGAAGCAGAAAGCTTTGGATTTTTCCCTCACTTCAGATCTGAATGCTTCTAGCAGTGATGTCAGCGGCTCTACACAGGATAGAAAATCCATCCAGCCATCCGTCTTTTTGACAGTTCTTTGTTTTTCATTGTAGTTTTGCAATCACTACTTCTGTTGACCACAAGCCACTTCGTTGGGTCATCTAAATCCTGTCTCATAGTCACATTTGAAATCTATGTTTATTTTTGAAAATTCCACGTGTTTTAAGCTCAGAAAGTGAATTTTTGACAAGAAAAAGTCACATGACATGTCACATGACCTTTTTCAGGACTCGTAATCACTCAAATTAAAGTTGTAGACTTTGTAAACACCTTTAAGTGTTTTCTCAGATATTTTGATAAGAGTCATTAGGTTTTTAGGGCAAAAAATGGTTAAGCCTCGTTCTATGTTAAAAGCCAAATTTGGAAAAAGACCCCCATCTATCTCGTTAGTGGTACCACAATTCAGCACTACATAGTACCTAGTTTTAAAGAGCTTCTATAAGAATCCAGTGCTAGACCTTTCCTGTCAGGTGGGTTGAATGCAACAATATTTTCCCAGTTCTAGCTCCTTGAGTAATAGTACAAACCTTACAATTTGACTTGTTATATAATTTTTGCAGTGAGACTTTACCGTTATTTGTAATGCTAAGGGCTTGGATATTCTCGAAACTTCAACAGGTGGAAGTATTCCTTTCCCGGTTTGAAAATTTATTTTACCTTTTGTGCTTAAGTACATTGAGTACTAAGGAAAGCCCTGTTTTTAAATGACCATGTGCTCAAAATTATGCTGTATAACATACAAGTACCCTAATTAATGCTTATCTGGACGTGATTAAATGTCACGATTACCACTTCTCAAATTTAAATTGTAGTAATGGATCTTTTGTATTTTCTGGTTCTTGAGTATTGAAAAGTTCGGTTTTGACGTCTAAATAACATACAAGATCTCACGAAGGGAAAAACTGAAAACTGAAATCTATCAGCTGCTTTGCCACAATGACAACAAGATCGACAAAATTAATTTCTCTCAGATCAGACTCAAACACTCACTTCGATATAATGAAATATATCAGCAAATATTTCTTCTTCACTTTTTCTGAAGTGAGGATCATCGTCATTAGGATGCGAGCAAGGATGGATGATTCCATTCATGTCCAGGTACAAATTATCAAAGACAGGAATCTGAAATTTAACAAGAAAAGGATTAAAACTGAACATATCCTTTCCCACAAATCTAAAACAGTGAGACGGAGTGCTTCTCCACATTGCAATTCTACCTGGTGTTCTTGAACAACTTGACTTATGCATGGGTATCGCTCACTAACCCATCTATAAAATTTAGGAACTCCCATATCTGTTTTATCGAAAAGACATATAATCTTAAAGGAAGAAAGCTGAAATTTTCGTCGGCGTAAGATGTCTACACATCTGCACACCATGCAAAAGCCCACAAAGGTTCAAGTCAGTAATCTAACCGCTGACTCAAAAGAATTCCTTCATAGACGTTAAGTATGACACACTTTTCCGTCCCGTTACCCCTCAGTTCGGAGCGGAGCGGGAGAGTACCGTAACAATTCAATTTAGTGCCTGAGGTGCTTAATTACTTTTGGCACCTAGAGGGAGAGTGCTTATCCGAAACGGGGCGTTTACTAGGGACGGCGCTTATTTCTCTTTTCTTTTTTTAAGAGAAAATGTGCGAAACGAGGCTTTGATCTTTATTTTAAAAAGGATCAAGAGGACTGTAAAGCTGGCTTGCTGTCCCTAGATCCTACCTGGCTATTACGACAGCCAAGCAATCGTCGCATAATTTGAAGACGAGACCATTCGTTTGGAGGAATTTTTCATGTGCATGTACTCTAACATGTGCATGTACTCTTACAGTGCTGTGCATGCGCAGAACGAGGGGCTAAATATTCAGTAGGGGTGCTTATTAGAATAGGGGTATGCCCTTATCAATTGTGCTGACAACTATTATGCCACTAGCAGAGCCCGATTTTTTTCCAAATTATGCTCAAAATTATTCTCGTTTTTGAAAATCACGCTAATTTTTCTTAATGTATGCTTACAAATAAAAAAACACAAAAACTACTCCAAAAACTAAAATTATATATTTACTGTTAATGAAGCATCATATTTTCTTTATCTTGAGTTACATAACTCCTGTCTTGATGACTCTTCTCTCGGTAATGATTCGGTAATAGTTTGTTCACTCACCTTCCACTATATCTTCTTTTCCTTTGCCTTCTAGGCTACAGATCACAATCTTCATTCTCCTCAAGCATCTCTAAAAATGGTGCGTAGCACAGGATCGGCTATCTTTGCAAGTATTCATGACATAGACTCCCACCCCCGAATATTATTTAAATAATGAACCAGCAAGTGTTGCTGGAAGTTTAATTTATGAGGGGGCATTGGGATTTTCGGTTTTGCGGTTTTATTTATTTTTAGATCGTTCTTTCGGTTTTTGTGCTAAAAAACGTCGGTTTCTCGATTTTGGTATTCATCGCGGTTTGCGGATTTTCCGCTTTTAAGCATTTGGTTTTCGGTTTTCGCGAAAAATACTAACGGGTTTTCGGATTTGGTATCCGATGCGGTTTTTGGTTTTTCCTATTTGGGTTACGTGGAAAACGAGGAGTGTGGAAAATAAGGAGTGTGCAAAATGCGAAGTGTGCAAAATGAGGACTCTGGAAAACGAGGAGTGTGGAAAATGAGAAGTGTGGAAAACGAGGAGTGTGGAAAACGAGGAGTGTGGAAAATAAGGAGTGTGGAAAATGAGGAGTGTGGAAAATGCGGAGTGTGGGTAAGGAGTAGGTTTTAACGATATGAACAACAATAGCAAGCACTCCATTTCCTTTAAGGCGATGCATCATTGCGTTTTCAGTACTAAACCATACATTACTTTTTCAAGCTTCAAAGAACGCAAAAAGGTGAACAAAAGAATCGAACAAGCAAACGAGTGAAACATTACAGTCAATGACAACAAGCAGTCCATGCTCTTTAAAAAAGCGATGGATCATTGC